TAACTCATAATAATAATTTTTAAATTATCTATTTATTTTTATTTTTATGTGCATGAGTATTTTGCCTGTATGTCTGTAAGTGCACCTGTGTCACGCAAAGCCCATGAAGGCCAGGAGAGGAGATAGGTTACATTGGAACTGGTGTTACAGATGGGTTTTGCCTGACATGTGCGTGCTGAGAATAGAACCCAGGAGCTCTGGAAGAGCATCCAGTGCTCTTAACCATTGAGTCATCTCTCCAGGCCCTCAAAACAATATTATTAATAGATAGTATATACATGTCCACATAGGCTATTACAATCCTAAATAATTAGTCATAAATCATACTCTTATCCTAAACTACTCCTTAAATTGGTTCTAAATTGTTCTTTAATAATAAATGAAACACTACTTATTTCTAGGTAGATATTATTAAAATATGTTATTTAAATTATTTGAAATCAAATGAATTCCGTGATGTGAAATCTTTGGAATGGAGCTTAACATTTCTCAGTACATTTTTTAAACCTATAAAGTGGAGATAAAAGCAGGATTTTATTGAAGGGTTAGGATGAGTTAATTTGTTTATTATATATCTTGCAATGGACCTGATCCTGTTAATTACCATTCAGTGATTCAAGAAAGCAAGTATTCATTTAATATAATATAAACCTGATATAAACCACATATTGTTTTAGTTCCTGAAAATTAAAAACTATAATATGGCACAGTATCTGCCTTTTGTAAGCTTCCAATCTGGTGGGAAAGACTGATATGTATATTCATATGACAATGTGATCTATGTTGATCTAGTGTAAGATAAAAGTACAGAGCAAACACACAGCAGGCATTGTACTTTTCTGTTAAAATTCTGCAGGAGATGGTGTACATATCTAAATTTTAAAATGACACAATGGCACTAGAAAATGGCAATTTAATGTTTTAGGCATGATAGTACATGTTTGCAATCCTAACACTTGGAGGATGTTGGCAGGAGGATGCAGGAGTTCAAGGTTATTCTCAGCTGCTTGAAGGCCAGTCTGGAGTACATGAGATCCTGTTTCAAAAACAAAAAAAGAAGGAAATCAAGAAAATGGTAATATAAGGTCACCGACTTTGTGGTGGAGAGAGTCAATGGTCAAGAGATTATTTATATTTTGAATCACAAGCTTATCTGTAACCACAAATTTTCTGAATCAGTAGTGGATATATTAAAACCCCCAAATTGGAAAGCACCTTCAGATTGTAGTGACTCAGAAGGGGAGTAGAATGGAATTTGGAACAACGAGAACCTTAATGCTTTTGACTCCCATCCACCTCAAATACAGTCTTTGGTCAGGGGCCATGTCTGGGCAAGGAAAGCAAGGGCTATTCTTCCAGGACAGTACTGAGTCATATCTGCCTTAGGATCTGGTGAAAGGTATGAACCCATTCCAAGGAGAAATGAATTTGTAAACAAACAAAACAATTGTAGTAATCTCAGGGAGAAGATTTTCCCTTTGAAGGTCAGATTGAGTCTCTATTTCAAAACAGTGCTTACTGCAAAGCTTTCTTTCCTGTCTAAAAAATGATGTGTATTGACAATTTCAGCTGTTATATCACTACAGAAATACTGATGATCTTCAAGTTACACCTGGTTAATTCCCTCAATGCCACACAAGACCACACTACCTGGACATTCTGGACTACTTGGCGTCTTCTGGTGTGCTTAGATGTGAGAGTTCTCCAGGATTAAAATCTGAAAGAAAATCCATAAAAGTCTAATTACTCCACAATTTATCAAAATCTCTTGAGAGAGATACATGGAGTACTATTGTATAATGCTACCTACCACTGCTAATCCATAAGCATTACTAATTTCAGCTTTATGACCCAACATGGGACATTTGGGTAAATAGAACCAACTGCCTTGGTCTCTTTGAATTTTTGTTCTGGGGGCAAGATCTTTCTGTAACCCCCAGCTGGCCTGGAACTCACTATGTAGACTAGGCTGGCCTCCATCTCACAAGGATCTACTTGCCTCTGCCTCTTCAGTGATGGGATCAAAGGCATGCACCCCTACTCCAGGCATCTTATGCTAATTTTTACTATACTTATTTATTTGTGTGTATGTGTATATGTGTATGTGTATGTGTGTATATATATGTTATATATATATATATATAATATATGTATCTATATATGTATGTGTTGTCCCATGCACATGGCCTAGCATGTGTGTGGGTCAAAGGAAAACTTCAGGAGTTGGCTTTCTCCTTCCACCATGTAGAGTTCCAGGGATTTTCCTCACTCAGGTCATTAAGCTTGTCGCCTTTGCCCAGTGAACCATCTCTCCAGCCCCCATTGCTGATTTTTATCACATATTGCTGAAGATCAAGTCTTCTCTGATGGGCTGTTTTGTTTCATGTCTCATCAGCAAGTTCCTGAAGATACAATGTCTAGAAGGTGGGATCTGGGAGCAAGGCAGCTGCATCCCAGTAGTATGTGAGCCTCCTTCTCCTGTTTTTGAAGGCATGTATGAATGTACCAATGGCTTCAAGCTGGAAAGTCAGTGTGTGCTCAACTGTAACCAGGAAAGTGAAAGGGTAAGGAAGATGCCTTGAACTTGGTTTGGATCAGACTGTACTCTAATCTTCATGGTCACTCCAGGAATGTGGAGAAGCAGTGACGTAAGGAATCCCAACAGGCAGGGCCTTGTGCAGCTGGGACTCTACTAAGTAGTGTTAATATTAGTCATTAGAGAGTGAAAAGATTATTTTTAGATAAGAAAAAACTGATTTGTAGCAGACCAAGGTATATCACAAATAGTTCTAGGATCCTGATTTATCGATACAGTCACCTCTCATGCATGGCCACTGACCTAACTTGACTAGGAATGCAGATTTTATGATTTTTCTTTAGTCTAACAGAATCCCAAATAGAGAAATGAATCCTAAGAAAAGCTTATCAAAATTCTGTTTGATGATTACCCTCTTTAGGATTCTGGCACTAGTCTGAACTAAAACCACAGTGTTATTGCGGTTGAGTGAGTAAAATCAATTTTATTTTAGGAGCTATTCAAGTACCACACACATACATGAGATAGGAGGTCATACAGATTTTCTAGGCAAAGACAATGACCTGACTGCTCCCTTGACATATCTTTAACTTAGCATTCAGTACTCCAAGGTAAATGCTGCAGAAGAGATGATAAAAGAATGGGCTATGAACAGAGACCCCCCAAGACATCAAACATGTCTGTTGGGCTGACTACTTAAGAAAACAAAGAGTTGGCCAGATGAAGGAAGACTTAGTGCTATATCTATAACCCCTCTTGAATTTTATAGTTATTAATACTTCCTGTAATCCATCTTGATAGAGTATACTTAGATTTTTGAGGGTGTGAAGCCAGGAGTTACACAATCTAGCAGACATGTGGAAGAAGGGAACAGACTTCAAGAGAGATCAAAAGAAACTATGATGTGTTCATTCCAGTAGAAAGGCAAAAACATACCTTTAGGAAAGTTATTAATTGCTTTTACTACATAAAACTCATCTTGAAAAAATTCGATTTTGCCACAAGCAACATTTGTGCGATAATATGGATGAATCCTTGCAAAACAACACCATCTGGGGAAATTTTCCCCCAATAGCACTGATAGATGGCTTTGGTCAGTTGCTTATTCTTTCTCTATATCTAAAGGAGACTATATCAGTGATGAGTTTCATTAATGGAAAAATTGTTCATGATTCCTTCACATGAAACAGCAAAGAATTGTCTTGGGTTTCCCTGTTTTTTTCTTTCTTCTTTGAGTTTGCTATTTTGAACTATTTATTGTGTTTAAAGGTCTTTTGGCTCAAGTTCTAGAAGTTGAAGGATATTATCACTTAACCAGTCTATCCTTTCCTGTGCTTATAATGCAATTAATAAATGGTGATGTTCTTTACCTTTGATGTCCTAGCTTCCCATCCTCTGTACTAAAGAAGGACGGTGGACCCAGGAGTTCAAGTTGTGTGAGAACCTGCAAGGCGAATGCCCACCACCCACCTCAGAGCTGAATTTCGTGGAGTATAAGTGTGAACAGGGATATGGGATTGGTAAGAATGGGAGATGACGTGGAAGTCTGTCCTCAAGTATCCTGGGTCTGGCTTGTTCTTGAATTGATACAGTATCATCTCTGAGGAACGGATAGAAATGCAAGTTGATTCTTAGTGGCTTCAGCAAAAGTGAAATTTTATGATGAATTTATTTATTTTTTTACTCTTCTACTTGTATATAACATTAATTCAGCTAAGCCACTGCTCATGTTACCTGCTTCGCTCTGGGACTGAGAGTGAATGAATTTGTGGCTGGATTTGTATCTCCAGGAGGAGAGGCAGGAATGTCTAGCCATGTCCACATGTCCTGAGCTCCTGCATTCCTGTTCCCTCTGTTGTTGTTCAAGGAGGGACAAGATGAGTTTGTGCTCACTTGTGTTCTTCTTTAGCCATTCTTTCACTGCAGAAGATTGGCTCCAGGCCTGTGGACAGCTTTTTATTCTACAATGAAAGATCTTTGTGGCCAGAGCTGACTTATAGTAAGGTTGACCCAACTTTTCCCAGGTTGTCCCTCAGCATCATTGAAAAGTGTTGTAATTTGTGTGCAACCTTATGAGATTACTCCTGAATTCCAAATTATACAATCAAGAAAAAATTTATAGGTGAATTTAAACCACGTGATGCTAGTGTGTAGGATCTGAGTTAATTAGAAACCTCATTTATTTTTGAAATGGTTCTTTATCGTATTTAGATTGTTCTTTAACACTATGATGTCTTGTGGGCAGGCCTGGAATATCAGCAAACTCTGGACGTTTCTTCAGTGGTGCTTCATGAACAGATTCTCGAAACTTCTAATTTCTATATTAAGATATGATATACACATACTGGGTCCTAAAGAATTACATAATTAAAAAAATTCTTACTTACCTAAAGACACAGACACAGATCAGGAGAACTGCAAACAGAGGGATCCTTTAATTTGTAGATGAGGAAGTAGAGAGCACTGATAGTGAGCTTTATTTGAAAGGAATTTTAGGAGACACTTGGATCTCTGTTGTAAGCTATCAGAGCAACAGTTTTCTCTGAGAGACTAAAATCTCTGCTTCTGGTGTTCGGCTGCTTCCTCCTTTACTCACATACGTTTCTTGGTTGTTTGTGTAATGATCTTCAGTGTAGCAACTGACAGGGTAGGCCTTGAGGTAATATAATAATCTCTGTACTATTTCCGCAGCCATTTAAGCTAGGTAATAGATGCTATAAATTTAGTCTACTAAAAGACCAGACGGTATTGTATATGCTTAGAAGACATCAGCCAATCAACATAGAGCTTGGTTTGCTGGAGTCCTAGAATGGGAATATGGGGGTCTGATGAAGTAGGAATTGGTCTCTTTAAAAAAAGATATTTTAAAAGTTTATTTATTTTTTGTATTTTGCCTGCATGTATGTAAGTGTACCCATGCTGTGCAATGCCAATGGAGGCCGGAAGAGGGCATCAGATCCCCTGGAACTGGAGTTGCAAATGATTGTTAGCCACCATGTGATTGCTGGGAACCAAACCAGGGTCCTCTCCAAGAGCAGCATGATGTTGACCACTGAGATCTCCAGCCCCCAGGAATTGATTTCTCAATGGCTGGATCAACAGACATGTAGAGATCCCTGAGGAAAGGATGTACTAGAGCAGGCAGAAGAGGGGGCACTTGGGACAAGGGAGTTAATGTTATAATGGCTTTCAACACTTTACTAAAAGTGTACAGGTGCATGGTAGGTGAATATCAGTTCTGCCTATAAGCACAGGATGTGATGGCCTACAGTGTAGAAAGCAATGGTACTGAAAAAGACAGGCATCTGGGGAGTTCACATCCCTTCTGTACATTTCCACTCCTTTAGGTGCCGTGTGCACCCCATCATGTGTAATCCCTCCTAGCGACCCTGTGATACTGCCGGAGAATGTGACTGCTGACACTTTGGAGCACTGGATGGAACCTGTCAAAGTTCAGGTGAGGAGGGGGACAGTGTTGTGTGTGGCATAAGGGAAGCCACTGAACAATGCTAACTGGTAGGCCATTCTATGGGGGAATGTTAGAGCATTTGCAATCATTCTTAAAGAAAACTGTCATGTATGATTCCTGTACGCAAGGATAAAACGCCAAGTAGAAAAAAGAGGAAATCTAGGTTTTAAAAAAAAAGTCCCACATCTAAAGGAAAATGTAAAAGGTAGAAAGTTGTCTCAGATAAATAAGCAACAGAGGAAAATGACTAATGAAACAAAGGTCATGAAGGGTTGGGATGAGCTGAGGAAGTATATACGGATGAAAAGAGGAAAGGCAGGGATAGACTAGAAAAGGTTAAAAAAATAAAACTGAACACATGGAGAAAGTGGGTAACAGAACAGGATGAGAAAAGATTTACTTTCCTGTGTCTTCTCTGTCTAACCCCCCAAATCCTTCTCCAAGGCCCTCTGTTACTCAGTCAAAATCATCAGCAAAATACACTCAGCCTTCTCGCTTGCCTCTTCTCTGGGCTTCATTTGCTTTCTTTTCTACCCAGAAGCTAGTACTTCCCTCAGCTCACTGCCTTCTGGAAGGCTCACTGGTCCTTTCTTACACTTCTGTCACTGTGTCTCTTTGAGGGGTAGGTGACCTCTCTCTTCATAGCCTCTTCCAAATCATCTTTCCTCCCCAGAATCACTTACATTTGTGTCTAATGCTAATAGAACAAACCCCTCACCACCCTCACGGCCACTGTCACCTTCTAATCATTAGGCTGCACCTTCCCTTTAGTTTTTAAACACCACCAGGGTATTCCAGGTAATGCCCCCATTAGAATGCTCGTCCATTTCCACACCCATGCATTTGCCTCCTCTAAAACTTGGATATTCTGATCTGTGTCCACCTTTCTTCAGGGACCATGGTTACCTGTCTGACTCCATCACTCACACGGTTTTCTTGGCTCCCTATTCTTGCCACTGTGGCCTCTTGCTTATTTTCTGAGCATGTGATGACATACATCTCTGAACCTTTGCCTTTGTGGTTCCTTCTGCCTACAACGTTCCCTCAGAGAGCTCAGTCTTTTGCCCCTCTACACTCATATTTTCACTCGAATATTAAGAAGGTTTTCTTTGGCTGGTCTATCTAAAATGTTAGCTCCTTTAGTATTTCTGCATGCTTCCCTCCTTTATTATTTTTTCTTCTTGGGACTTAATCACTACTAGGCATTAGATATTTAACTTATTCCTTTCTACCACTAGAATAAAATGAGGGATGACATCTGTTTTGTTCACTGTTATGCTTTTAGATCCCAAGTGGTGCCTAGGAAATGCCAAATGTTCACTAACTATTTGTAAACTGAATAAATGTAAAAGAAAGAAGTAAGAGCTAAGTGGAGAATATGTTGTGAGTTGTTTCTTCTTAGAGATAGAGTAGGATCTAAGAGAGCTTGACTGATTCCTTAGGTTCTACATCTAATCCTTGCAAAGTGATTTCAATAGAATCACAAAACATGGACTCTGGATATATACATTTCATTCACAAATCATTCTTTTTTTTAACTTTTATTTTATGTGTATGAGTGTATTGCCTACATGAGTGTGTTGTGTAATGCCTGCAGAGATCAGAAGAGGGCGTTGGATGCCCCTGAAACTGGAGTTATGGATGGTTGTTAGCTGCCATGTGGGTGCTGGGAATTGAACCTGTGTCCTCTGCAAGGGCAGCCATTGCTCTTAACCGCTGAGTCATATCTTCAGCCCCCACAAATCATTCTTAACTCTCCTTTTCCTTTCCTTCCTTTGGGGAATTGCTGTCAGGAATTTGTGTCAAGGCAGGAAGATTAGGGAGAAATTATTTTAAGTATAATGGGAAGAAAGCTGGGGATAGCATAACCCTATTCAGCTCCTTCTGCATTGAACATTTAGGGAGCTTTTCTATGTGCCATGGAACTATGCTAAATTCTGGCATACAGAGAAGCAAAACGACAGTCCTGTCTAAGGGACTTACACTTGGCCTTGAAATCAGATATTTGTACTAATGCAACGTGTACTCATGGAACAGTTTGGTTGATGGTAAAAGTTTCATGGGAATGCCTGAGAGAAAGCAACTAACTCTTCTGCCCAGGAGTCTGGTTAACCTGTTCACTGTCTTCATGAAGACAGCAGGGACACCAATTACAGAAATGACAGAAATGTACTGTTTCCAAAGTAGAAAGCCATTTTCTCTCTTTTATTAAAATGTCCCTTTTCTTAACTGTCTTTCAGGTGAATCGTTATTTATTTACAGTGATTCCATAGCATTTTGTTAATATTTGTATTTCTAATGGCCTTTCCAATGCTTTTTTTTTTTTTTTTTTTTTTTTTTTTTTTTTTTTTTTTTGTCTGTTTTGAGACAGGGTTTCCTTGTAGCCCCAGCTGTCCCGGAGCTCACTATGTAGACCAGGCTGGCCTCGAACTCACAAAGATCCACTTGCCTCTGCCTCCTAAGTGCTGGGATTAAAGGCGTGCGCCACCACGCCTGGCCAATGCTTTGTTTTTTTAAAGCATCTTTATGGTTCTGTAAGTAAAGAAATTGTTGGGACATGGCTTTCTATATATTGCATTTGAGCAACTTCTTACTGTTATGGATAATCACATCCCTGTCAATGTCAAGTAGATTATACCACAAAGAAAATGTAGAGCAGTGGTCTCTCCTTAAGCCAGTACCTCAAACATCATCATTTTCTTGTTGCACTTTTTGTTAGTCTAATTAGTAAATTCTTGTTTTTGTATATAGGCTGGCCAGGAATTGGAGAAACACTACATTTGGAATGATAAATGCATTTCAAAATAACATTTTATTTTTATTTGTGTGTGTGTGTGTATGTATATGTGTGTGTGTGTGTGTGTGTGTGTGTGTGTGTGTGTGTGTGTGTGTCCCAGGTATGTGTGAGTATGCTCAGAGGCCAAAAGAAGGCATTGGAGCCCCTGCAATTGTAATTACAGGTAGTTATGAGCCATCTGACTTGGTACTGGGAACTGAACTTGGTTCTCTGGAGCAGCAGTAACCATTCTAAGCTGCTGAGCCATCTCTCCAATCCCCGTAAATCTATTTTTAAAAAAGCCGAAGTCAAGTACCTGAATTCTGACAGACACTAACTGCACAGCCTCAAGCAACCTACTTCACTTTTCTGGGTCTTTATTTCTTCATGTGTAAGTGGGAATGAAGAGCTATTTCCACACGTTATCTCAGAATCAGAGCAGAACCATGTGGATAGAATTTAGCTTGCTTGTCCATGGTAATCTTTCTTTTTTTTTTTAATTGAGCTTTTAAAATTTCACACATTTCCCACACAAATACAGACCCTCTCCCCCATCCATGCCACCCCCATCCCCCCACCAAACCCTATGCACTCTGCCATACATGCTGAGTCCTATTTATTCAGGTGTTTGTACCCAAATGTCCTTTAGTGTAAATGCATCCACTGGAGTCTAGTCAGCCCATCCAGTGGTCATATGTAAGTCATATTCTCCCTTATCCAGCAGCACTAAGTCTCAAATAGTTCTCAATCTAGTGCTGGCCCACCACCTATTTCTCACCTCCCCTTTGGGCCCTTGTTTAATTGACCTGACATAGATCCCATGCTCAATGACACTGCTGCCACAGGCTCACATGAGCAAGCCTCCAGTGGCCTGGAAACCTCTACCTCCCACTGTTCATGAACTAGGCCTGGCTCTTACGGTCTTTCAGCCTCCTCTTCCACAATGCTCCCTGAGCTATGGGTGGGTGAGGTTCCATACAGGCATCCCATCCTACATTCTGCAGTCTTTTATTCTCCAAAACTTGACCAGTTGTGGCCTTCTGTGTACATCACACTCTAATATACATGGAAGCCTCACTGGTGAGAGTTGAGGGGTCCATTAGCCTTCTCTCTATCCCTTATTCTGCTATGTTACCTGAGGCTTAGTTGTCAAGATTCGACAGCAGATGTGTCACCTATTACTGGGCATCTCTCAGGTGTATGTTCTCTGTGCCTGACCAGATGTGCAACTCTGCATTAGCCTCCATCTGTTGCAAAAAGAAGCACTTCTGATGAGTGCTGTATGGCATGCTTGTCACTCTAAGGGAGGTCTCTTCTATCTGGCACTGCATTCCCTGCCAAGCAACTCTCAGGTATACATATGCATTAATGTTCAGACACTCTGTGCATCTCTCATAGGGTTTCTAGGGTATCACTTTTCCCTCTAGGTTTCCTAGGCCCCCAAGATTCACTCATCTCCACTCTTTTTTTTCCCTTCAGGCTTCCCTCCTCCTTCCCTTCCTAGTCACAGTGCCCCCATTGTCCTTACCTCCCCATCCCTGAATACCTCCGAACTCCCACCCTTTCTTCTCCTGACTTCCCTCCCTCCCCGACACCATGGTCCACATAGTCTTTCTTGATCAGTTGCTAAGCTTAGGAAGCTTCCCTGGCTTGTGCCTCTTTCCATCTGCAGTGACACACCCTTGTTCTTTATGATTTGGGGTATGAAGCTGGTCATGGTTTGCACTGTCACTAGAGGCAAGTGGCAGTAGAGAACTCTTGAGATGTCGTGTTGTCATATGTGTCATTGTGTGTCATATTACTATGTGGAAGCAAAGTGAAGTAAATTAGCTCTTTCCAACAATGTAAGGAAAGAAATGAGATCCTTAGAAAAATCTGTCTTACAGGACAGATTTTAGGGTAATTATAAGGATAATTTATAAGGATAATTTATTCTTAGGAAATAACTCAGCAATCAGAATTTCAAAAATTGAAAACATATTTTCAAAACAACGTTTTGTGTGACCCTGAACCCCAGATCAATATCCTTTACACTAAAATCAAAATCAAATGTTAAGCTTATAGTTAACACTGAATATTATAATGGGACAAAACAAGCAATTACCCAGGCTCTCTCAGCTCTTTCATTGTTATTATATTAAGGAGTATTGTCACAGGGGTGTCCTTCATTCAGGAAATTGAAATTTTATTGCAAAAAAAAAGAATAAAAGTC